TATTGTATGTATATATATATTATAGTATATATATAGTATATATATATATTTATATTTATAGTATATATATATATAGTATATATTATATACTATATTTATAGAATATATAGAGTGTATTTATATAGTATTTATAGAGTGTATATATATATAGTATATATATAGTATATATATAGTATATATATAGTATATATATAGTGTATATATATATAGTATATATATACTATATATATAGTATATATAAAAATAAATATCTGCTATATATATATACATGTATACATATGTGTATATGTGTATATATACGTATGTGTATGCATATATATATAGATATTATACACATATATGTATGTATATATACACATACACCTACATATGTATGTAAAAACAAATATATGACATATATCATACATAATATATATATATATATACATATTGAAGTTGGTGTGTTATTAATAACAGACTGAAGGAGGTGGGGAGTTTTTTTTGCTGGACTCATCGGTCAAACAAAGCACGTTGTGTGTCACATAAGAACGTTGAGGAAAACATACATTGACAGCACGACAGGATTTTTTTCATTCAACTGGTTGTTTCATGGGGAGTTTCATGGGGTTTTAACCCCCCAAAAGTGACCTGGTTAAGGTCTTAACCACCAACAGTCGCATGTTAAGGCACAGTCACCTTGGGGGGTCCCCACGGCCAGGGTTTGATGGGTGTTGGCCGTTGGCCCATGAGGTCGCAGGTGCCACATGTATGCTGATGGGCGTTGCCCAGTTGGTGGCTTTGGCGCATACCAGCGCTGGAGGCGCGTCTATAGCGTTTCACGCTGTTTATCGGAACTGGTGGAAACTAAGTAGACTGTGGCAAGCATATGGCACTCATGAGGTGATACAGGGGTATAATCCACAATATCTGTGTACTAATTACTAATTACGTGCATAATAACTATATCAGAATTGCAAGTTGGAAATTAGAACCTAAAAGGGCTACCAGGGGCTACCAGCAAAGGATTGGTAAAAACTACCAATTACAGGGGCACCTGGGAGTCGTGCAAGTCGAGGTGATCCAGACGCCCTGGTGTTGGCAGCGGAGTCAAAGAAAGGCCTCTTAGATAGTCACGCGTTTTGCAGCCCCTTGCCTCTAAGACCGTCTAAGACTCCTAGATGTGGTCTTCTTTGTCTTCTCTTTGACAGTTTTCAGGTGTTTGAACCTTTTCTTGATCTTTTCCGGTCTTTGATACTTCCAGTCGTGTGGGTACACGCATTGGTCTGAAGTCGCAGATTGGCTTGGCAGAACACTGTCAGCAAGAAGGGATTGGTCAGCCAATATTTCCGCTGGATATTTTTGGATTCTCATCCTGGCCTTACGACTAGCTCGCTCCAAGGCTATTACGACCTACTCCTGCCTGCCGTAGCTTGACTGCAGTGCACACTTTTGATCATTCCAAAGACCCTGGCAGCAGAACCTTTGATCTTAGGCACCTTGGATTCGTGATATTGGGATCCTGCTGTTCGTGCTGATCTTCATCCTTTCAACGATCAACAAGATCAAGGACCTCTAGATTTTCAGTATGACTTAATCACTGCCCAGTAATGGGACGGTTTATTTAATGCTAGAAACACCAAATTCATCAATTTTTGTACGTACCACTTTTTTTGGTGGGTCAATTGGCACCCCGCTCTTCATCCAGACCCATGAAAAATGATGTCAGTGAACTTTTGCTGGGACCAGCCTCATCTCGACTCATAGAAGGACTTCAAGGGCACAGCACGGAGCCCAGGAAAATGGATGTGGCAGAAACCAGCAGCATCTCAGGTTTTATTCCGTGTCAGTAAAAGTCCATTTTTGGCATCTTGTGGCTATGGGTCCCAGCTGTCCCAGCTGCATGCCCACCAAAATTGAATGAAGGCATATATATATATATGTATATATATAAATGGTAAAGTTGTGCCTGGCTTAGTGAGTATTCAACTTCTTTGGAATCCATATGGTTGTTGTCCCCAAGAATCAGGTGCTCATAGGGGGTATCATCATGTTTTTTTAAACCCAGATCTAGGTGAAGATTGTGGAAGGCTTTGGGCTCCCGCAGCTTGGTGTGAGGTGAAGTTGGTGGGATGCTTATGTCTATTGGGGGGATGCCTATTTGGGATTTTCCTATATCTTCCCACTTGGAATGCCGAGTTTTTGGGAGGATGGTGGATGAGAAGCCATGATTGACCTATGTTTTTGGGTTTTTCAGGCACCAAGACAAGAGTCTGCAGGTTTTTGGGATGTCCCCTGACCTGGCCGAGTGAGCTATTCCCATTTTGGAATATTTGGGACCCGCATGGGATGGGATGCATAAGGTGCCCCACGTTCATGACCATTGGGGCCATCCTGGACTTGATTGCCGGCTGTGTTTGCTATCTCACGGGATCCTTGGATGGATCATTGGGAAACACAACGGGTAGTTTGGAGCATGGCATCATCCCTGTTACTAGCATGCCACTGTTCATTGCTCCTCAAATTGAAGTCCTTGTGTTTAGAAGTCCCTGTGAGATCCTGTGAGTGTGTAACAAATTGGCGATGCCTAAACCATGCGAAGCCAGAAAACGTGGTACCTCCAAGGTCCTATGGTTGGCTTAGTTAGTTGGAAGCCGTTGGATGCTGAGGCATTCCTGTCTTGATGGAGTGGGGCGCAGAATTCATACTTATCTTTATGCAACTTGGATGCCAGATGAACCTGTTTGGCAGATAGGGGGAGATTTTATCACCGTCATGGACATGGAGAAATATATTAGAGCACCAAACAAATATCCAAGAAGGGGAACACAATCAATTCAATCAATGGACACGGGACAATGAACATCCCAAAAGAACGGTGAACTCTTCATCCGCAGTTTTTTGGTTTCGTTGTTGTCCTTGGGCAAAAGGATTTTGGCGAGCTATGTGGGGCACTTCAAGCCGTGGAGGGAAACAAAGGAAGAATTCCACATGGTCCCTCGACCGCATCGCAGGGGAGATCCTCAAAGCAGCAGAATGGTACCTGGACCCAGTCGTGTGCACCAAGGAGATGCTCCTGAAGAATGCTGCCATTATCGGGCAATGCTTGCTGACCATTGGCTTTGAAGTTCCAGAGATTGGATTCTTTGCTGCAAGGGATCAGTTTTGCGATGTTTTGCATTGTTCGGTCTGCCCAAAGCCAAAACGTTTGGTGGCCCTTCGTTTCCTTGAAGTCTGTGAATCCCAGGCTGTCACAAATCATGAACCGCAGCATAGAGAGCTAAGGAAAGGATGGAACTCCCCTCGGCCTCAATGGGGCCCTTGGAAGCTTCGGAGAATTTATTGGAAAAATCTACCGCTTCTTGGCTCATTTGGATGGGGTCGGATTCATGGGGTAACGGAGATGAACAAGGGATCCAAAGAAAGACAATGAAGAGCAGTCAAGTGACCAGAAGAGGGGGACTGCTGCAGCAGAGCTCTAGCCCAAAGAGCTTGCAAACCGAGAGCAAGTCACCAATTGCCAACATCCAACAGGACTTGAGAGCGTGCAATACTAAAACAAGAGGGGATGCCAGCATCAACCTGCCAGCCAGGAGCTCTCAAGCCGTACTCTTACATTTTCAAGTACAGCGGCATCATTTTGTTGCTTGCCTATGCTTGCCTGATTTTGAAGGGAGTTGGCAGGGGCACAGGATCCATTAGATTCAATTTTCATCCATTTGTGCTGAGGTATGGCTAAAATTTGAGTTTGTCTGAAAATAGGGTCTACGGTTTGACCATCATCTGTCATCTTCCCCATTGAAATGGCAGTTTTGGATAGTTTTGGGGTATTCCGGTATTCCCACCATTTTTAGACACGCCCATATCTCTGCGTTCATGTGGCAGGTTTGTGCTGGTCTTTCTCTTTGGTGGCCTGAAGCATCTGCTGAACTTCAAAGAGACGGTGGCTTGGACATGTCAGTGAAAGGTGAGTTAGTTCAGAAGGACCATCCTTTTTCTAGGCCAACCTGCCACATTTGTCCTTCGACCAAGGTGGAGATCAACAAGACCTTTGGCATTCCGCTGCCAACGTTGTCAGCCTTAGTTGGGCCCTTGCTGCTCTTGGCAGGGTCCGGGATGTACCTCACCGGCATCCCAGTTGCGCGGCAGAATGGCGCGTTATCGGCCGGTGGTTGTGGTTGTGGTTGGGTGGGTTCATTGATGTTGATTTATTGGAGTATTCAGTACTCAACAACTGAGCTGACCTCAAAAGTATGAGGAGCCTCACCAAAATGACCTTTGACATCCTTTGACCCAAAGGTCTTCATGGAGATTGGCGCTGAATGCTTGTTGCTCTTCCTGTTGATGTCCACCTACTTTGTGCATTTCAAACCTCTACAGCAGTCAGGAGGGGGTACCAGGTGCTGCATGTTGACTGCAGTTCTGTAGCAATATCAGGCGTCAAGCCACCTATCGCAGCCAGTCATTTATAGATTTTAGACTTGGGGGGCTGGTCGCCATGGTTCCGAACGGAGCGTTCAGGTTTCCAAGTACAGTGTTCTCCGGTTCTGAACTTGGGTAAAAGGTTCCAGATTTCCAACGCTCAGCAAGGTGTTGAAATCCATACTACAAATATCTATAAATTACATACACCATTCAAAAACCATTGAAATGGCTCAAGTAGCAGATCACGCTGTTCCAACTTTCTAGAACAAAGACCAAGCCGCAGTAAATAGACTGGGGATTCGAGCGATTGCAATCGTGCGCCATAGCAGTTTGGCTACAGGGCGGGAGACTAGACGGACACGCTTGGCAACAAAATGCCGAAAGGCTAATCCGTGATCCACACACACACACACACCATATCATACACACACACACATATATATACACTGTATATATATATATATATTGTATATATATATATACTTTGATCTCTTCAGTTTTTGGGGCAAAGCTAGTAGAACATTGATAAGTGGCTGCAGTTTCAAGACAAATCTGGCCTCATCACTCTAAGTGCCGCAAGCGGGCTGCAGCGAGGCTCAGGCCGGGATTGATCGAAAGTGGGGGATGAGTACCTGGGTTTTGACCATGTTATGATCCACTTTTGCAATGAATGCTATGACACTTCCGGTTTGTTGTTGGTATGAGCCTGTTGACAAGTTTCAAGTCCAGGATTGCATTGATTGTGTTCATGTTGACTAGAGTTTTCTCAAGCGATTGCCACCAACTTCTTCGAGTACAGTCTAGTCCCAAAAACATTTTGGCACAAAGTCTTGTGACCCAGCTTCTCACATGCTTTGCTGCAATGTTCAAGTTCAGACCAGTAAACCAGGTAGTTGTTGGCCTCTAAACTGGTGGTTTGCATGCAGGCGACAAGAATTCCAGGGATCCTCGCTTGGTTATAAAATACTATCTGAACCCAAGGCCAATTTGAACTAATCCTTTGAGGGACCCGAAATACCAATAGCATTTCACAGCACTCCCGCGACATGTTTTTTTATTTTTTCGGGAAGGGAACAAAAGGGTATATAAAGAAGGCGATTCCTTTTCACACAAAACAACAGATTAAAAAGTTGTTCCCCACATTTTCATTCAGTAAACCAGGAGACCAGGCCTGACATGGCCATTCTTTTGTGATTTCTTGTGGAGTTTTGTCACTCTTGTCCCTTGGATGCTCGGGTACCGTGTATTTGTAGTTGAGTAGCTCCTGCACCAGATTTTCTGGAACTGTCGAGTCTTGGAAATTTCATTGTGGGAAGGGCGTCCAGTGATTTCCTGCCTGCAGTGGAATAAGAGGTCCCAGAATGGCTTCAGACATGTCAATTTATCAGATTCCGGCACGCATACAGAATGTTCAGCATTGTCTGGTCAGGAGCCATTAGCAATGTCTTCGGGCCACGTGACCGTGTCTTGGCTCTCCTAAACAACCTTGCGGTATGCTATCCGGAAGGACATGCCATGGAACAACACATATCTCTGGAATTCTCTGAGAATCATCATGAGCCTTGTGACAAAGACTGCAGAGCGGAGGACCCCTATTTTGATATGTGCATCAGCCAGGCCCAAGACAACCAACTGGACGCTGTGGAGGGTAGTTTCTCTCCGTCTGGAGATGGGGATGATCTCCTACAACTGCAGGAAAATTACAGGCAGGGGACGATCCGATCTTGTGTGCAGCGAGGTTGGTTGGCAACAAGTCTGGTTGGAGACAACTGAAGATGTTGCTAACTGAGCTCATCTGGTCCATGTCAAGCTGTGTCAGGGGCGCTCATTTTGCAGCTTTCCCCCTAGCCCGCATATGCACACGAGTGTAAGGATGTGCTGGTTTACAAAAGGCACACGTTGGTAAGAGTACACGCTTGCAGACTTTGTTGAAAGGAGAGAGGCACAGTAGTGACACTGGTCGCTTCTATTTATTGCCAGGCTATCACATGTTGACGGTGTTGGAGATGCTGTGCATGTGCAGGACGGTGCAGAGGTCATGTGCAAACCGACACGAGCTGACACAGATTCAGATTCAAAGTGTCAGATCTATTCAGAACCTCAAACAGCAGTTACTAGCTATCAAACACATGGGTTGTATTTGCCTGGAGTTGGCTGGTGAAACTGAAGAGCTGCTGGCATGTACAATGTGTACTTGGATTGTATGAATGTAGATATTACGCACGCGATTGCGGAATCTTGTACGTAAATACATCATGCATACATGCATACTCATGTATGTAATGTCATGGACTGTACTCATACTAAAAGCCCCGCGGCAGCGGGGCGTGTGTGTGAAACATTTGAAGAATAGATGTAAAACTTCTACTTGATTTGTAGCAGGGGGCCACGGCTCCATACATCAGTCCGTGGCCAACGAAGCTATTGATGTTTGGAGGGGATATGCAGTCTGATCAACTGCACGTACCTGCACTTTTCCATTTCCATTTATCGTCAATGGCAACCGACTAAGCCGAGAACCGGCATGTCGATTTGATTTTCACTTCGTTTTCTGCACTGTTGTCGCAATCTGTCAACTAATTTCATCTAGCACTGGACATGGCGATGGCACCTTTTCGGTTTTTTCTCGGGTCGTTTCTTCGACCCACTCCTGTCAGGTGTAATTGGAGTGTTTTTGCACGTAAGATGCATTCCACATTAGAATTCGCAAAGGTTGTTCTCAGCAAGTGTGTATGTGTGCGTGTGTAGGGTCTGATTTGTTCATGCATGCGGGATTCAATTCCCAACCGGTCAATATAGTGAGCACTTTCTGAATTTTTGGTGGGACATGGGACGCCAGGAAGATTGCTTAGCGGATGGGCTTTCAAATGGATCTATCATCAGCGTAAACATGGATGATGAGGCGTGAGCAGTCGCAGTTTTAGAGGGTGGGTTTATTTGTAGAAGTGCTGCCAGTTCGGTTGATTCAGTGGTTTTCCAATTCTATCAAACGGCAATTTTTCTTGTTGGGCCAATAGCCATGAGAGATTCAGAGCGTGCAAGTTTCATAGCCGGTGAAGGTGGCAGCCTGGTTGTTACGCAGAAGGCAATGTTTAATCCCACTAGGGGGTTGAGGTTTGCCTGGAAATGCTGGCCGCAGCTTGTTGTTTTGTTGCGGGGCGTGGTTTCCGTAAACTTGAAACATCAAAAACTGTCAATATTCCCTGTTTCCCCTTTGGATTTCTGGCCCAACGGGATGCCAAGAGGACAGTTTGAGCAACACATTCTGCATGTTTTTCGACGTTTGGACCTGAACCCCAAGCCTTTGACAACAAACAGTACGGACCCTAAAACAGACCCTCAATTGCCTAAAATTAACCCTAATTTTTTGAATCTCTGATGAAACTTTGGGCGAAGGTAAGGCTCACAGGGATACAAACATACATGCATGAAGACGTGCGCAGATGCACGATGCACGCCTGCATACCTGCCTGCATGGATGCATGTATGCACTTCTGAATTTATGCATGTACGTTTGTGCGTATGTATGCATGTATGTATGTAGGTATGCACGTGCGTCACGTACGTATGTATGTGTGTAGTCAGGTGTGCCATACGTACGCACGTATGTATGCATGCTTGCATGTCTGCTTTTCCGTTGTCTGTCTCTCCGTCCATCTGTCTGCCTGTCTGTCTGTCTGTCTGTCCGTCCGTCTGCCTATGTATGCAGGTATTTGTGCATTCGTGTATCCATGCATCCATGCATCCATGCTCGCATACATGCACAGAATTACCCGTGCGCTCGTGCTTAGATCCGTATATCCATGTAACCATACATGCGCACACGCACATAGACGCACAGACACATAGGCACATACACGCATGCAAACAAACGTAATTACGCACGTGTGTGCCTGGGTACATTCGTTCAAAAACATACAAACATATACATTACAAACATACAAAACATATATCCGTGCCTCAAGTTTTGTGTGTCTAGGGTTTGATTTGTTCTTGTATGGGGGATTCATGTCCCAACCAATCATGATGGTGATCATTTTTTCTGTCTACTTTGTGTGTGTGTGTCTCAAAATCTGCAAGCCGCCTGGAATGTAATACCGGACGCCAGGAAGATTGCCTAGCAGATGGGGGTAACGTGGATGATGAGGCGTGAGCAGTCGCAGTTTTAGAGGGTGGGTTTATTTGTAGAAGTGCTGCCAGTTCGGTTGATTCAGTGGTTTTCCAATTCTATCAAATGGCAATTTTTCTTGTTGGGCCAATAATCATGAGAGATTCTGAGAGTGCAAGTTTCATAGCGGGTGAGGGTCCCAGTCTGCTTGTTGCGGCTGAAATCAAACACACTAAGCACAACAAACAACATCAGAAATTAGACGACGGTTGGCCTGCGAGGGAAACGGTTCCATGATCAGAATATTCCGATGTATTAAGAGGTTTGTGTGTACTGGGAAAATGTAAGATGATGCATGTATTGTTTATCATCGTTGTATTGTCTCAGGAAAACATCTCATATGTATTGTTTCATGTGTATACACATATGTTAAACCTATTGTGCGTGTCAAATGTATCTGCGCGGATGTTGGGATAACGAAGAGCGATGTAGAGACAGTGATAGAATTGGATGAAGAAAAGGGCACAAAGAAACCAATAGATGTAATGTGGCGGAGAAAGAAGATAGAGGGTTTAGATGAGATAGAAAATATTATTAAATGATGAGGGTTCAACACAATAAAAAGACGTGGTTAAATACACAACACAGAAACAAAAACAGAAAATGTTGAGATCAGTGGTACTAGTGCCAAACAAAACAGCAAAGTCGAGCAGGAACAGCTTCAAGTTGAAGACGCGTTCTGTCTACACTCATATAGACGAGTTGAACATCAAAGTCTGCAAAGTTGTTCTTCTTGCGCCCTGAAAGGGATCTTGACATGTTTGTGAGCGCTAACGCCCATCTGAAACGTACTCGTATCTGATGGTAAGACACCCCACATCGCACACATTATGTTTGCCCGTGCCAACCAGGTAAACACAGCACTACGAAATCTTCCAAAATACGTGTATTTGCCATACAAAAAGGTCAAATGTCTGCTCGTGCCCCTCAAGGGTATTCTTTGAACAACCATGGCCACCGTTTGAACGAGTTCCCTGAGAGTTCTTTCTATCTGAAACACATCTGATGGTGAGTAGTTTATTCAAACATGTGAACTTGTTCAAACCATACGACCTCATTTGCTTCAGATATGGATCAGAGTGGTCTCGCTTGCGAACATGTATCAATCTTGTGCCAACTGTGACAAAAATGCAGGCTGGGGTGAGGTGCAGAAAGTGGACACATCACACCTACACAGAGAGAGAGAGAGAAGACAAACACCAATTTCAATACATATTACTAATATTACACTACATGTTTGAAGTTGGCACAAGTAGGCTCTCAAGGGGCACATGCTTAGTAGCGAAATTGAAGCAGCAACGTGTACATGCTTTAATTCAAAGGGTGTTGTTAGTTGTTAGAGGTTGTACTGTTAGGCCAAATTCCTCAGTCAGTTCTTGTGAGGACAAGGGAAAACAAGGGCATCTCTCACGAGAAGAACTTCACAGCGAAGACAGCCCAGCCAGCCCAGCTGGCGTTTGCCCAACAATGCATGGCGAGTGGCAGAGTGAGGGCTTCGCCGGCCACATGAACGACAAAACGTTGCTGCACTTGCAGAACTTTTGCAGCGACCGTGATTCCAGGTGCTGGCGGATACTTCTTCCGATTTGTTGCATGACCATCTTTGGAGCGAGTTTGGCACTGGTTGTGCTTTGGGCCTTTGTTTTCTTTCCCTTTCAGAAGCCAGAGATGGGTTTTTGGGGAAATTGGATGTTCAACTTTGTGGCGCATCCTGTTGCAAACTACATCGTTGCTCGAGGGGTCATTGGGTGGTTCGCGAGACAAATCTTGTGGGACCTGGAGAGCAGGCCTTCTTTGTGCAAAGCGCAAAGACCAGAGATTACAAGACAAGTTGAGAGATCTCTGCATTTGGCGCCGATAGCAGACTCACTTTGGTGTGCCAGCGAGCACGTGCTCTTGTCCTTTGCGAATGTTTACCCAATTCCATTCTCAACGGTGCTCTCATGCACCCCAGCAGCATTTTCGAGCATGGGAGTTTTCTACCTCCTCCTTCCCAAAGAGGTGCGAGCTCTCCAGAGCACGGCGAGCTTCGCAAAGTTCACGTTTAGCTCTTGGTCAGCGTATTTCTTTCTCTATGCTGGGATGCTTTTCTATACAGCCTTTTTCAGCAAGGTGGAGATGGGAGTGCAGTTAGCCATGAGCTTAGCTCTTTCCACAATCGAGCTCTCCGTGGTTACCATCTCCAGGACTTTGGGCATGTGGTGGAACATTCCTGTCCACGTTGTGCGGGAGATGCGGACTTGCATCAAACTTCCAGTGGTCATCTTCAAAGCCTCCATGTTATCTGAGGCCAAGGGAATTTGGGTGTTTCTCAGCCTGGTTCTACCAGAAGCCGTGCAAATTTTGAGTTCTGTTGGTTTGGTGCTCTTTGATCTCTTGTCGAACAATCAAGAGACTGAACAAGCCTTGGCCATGGCCAATATAAGGAACATAAGGTCCACACAGCAAGTCGCACAAACCTGTCGCACGTCATACCGTGGATTGAAGGGCGTGCGACGAAGGTTGAAAGAGATTGCTCAAAGCTGTGAACAGATTTCAAAGAAGGATCTTCATCAGATAAGTTGGGCAAAGGAAGATGTCAAATTGCTGAATGAAGTCTCCAGCTCACTCTCAGCTGTCGTCATGTTGGAAGTATGTGAGATAATGGCCCCTTTGATTTACATATGTCTTTTATTGTGCTTGCAAAGCAGCACTTTCTTGGGACACAACAGCTCTTACTATCTGGGATTGGCAGATGCCAATTTAGAGGAAAGTCTCATCGCGAACAGCTACAGCCTTTTGCTTGAAGTAATTCTGTTGCTGGTCACGGAGCTGTGCATGAGGGCGGTGATTGGAATGAGCTTCTGTAGCTTCATCGGCTTCGTTCTCCGTTGTGATTTCAGTTTCTGGTTGAGTACGCTCTCGATGGCGTACATTACTTGGCTAACGATGTTGGTCCAGCACACTGGACACGATTATACATTTCAATTTTCTTGGCTGAAAACTGCCCTCAGTCTATAAATCTGTTTGGGCAAGCAGCTGGTTTCAGTCATTAGCTTGCGGTTGGCTGGCTTTTTCCTCTCCATGTGTGAAACATTGTGGAGACCAGCTTTACTTGGACCCCGCTCGGGCGTGGGCTCGCTGGAAGAGAACTAAAATGGCCGTGGCCCGCAAAGTTTCAGACTTAAACTGGTCATACAAATATTCTTTTACGTAAAAGAAGATCTTCTTCCAAGTCCTCCCGCAATCTCTAACTCTAAGTGCGAAGAAGAGACATGAGATGATTGTCTTCGTTGATTACTCCGCCATTACTGTCTGGCAAACAGATGCACATCCATCGGAAAACCACCAGAAAACCAGGCAGGCAAGTCGCAGTTTTCCAATGCTTGGCAAACAGTTGACATGCATACTGCATACTTGGTTGAGATTCCACCTGGGTTTTCTGTACTTTCAACCAGGTAGCCGCCAGATTAGCACCAGCAGTGCTTGATTCATTGATATCCCATGGTCCCACGGGTGGCGTTGCCATGGTTCGTAATCCGCAGGAGGCAAGGACTTCAAGCAGATGCTGCACACCTTGAAGAACATCTCTATGGCCGGTGGATGTTTGATGACTATTGGTGCTGTGCTGCCACAGATCTGCCAGTAAGCCATCGCCAACGCCGGGCCAACCTCCGTTCTGGGTGACACTCCCGGGCTTTGCCGCTACAGGGTGAACTGAGCACGGCTCGGTTTCCGTCTTAGTTTTAGTATGAACGTTTGGAGTTTGAGTCTCCAACACAGTTCGACAGGCACTCCAAGAGTTTTGGAGCACGTGCGTGCAGCAGCAGCAATCTTTGAGAGCGTCATCAGGCTACATCAGGTCAGGTTTTCTGATGGTCATGATCTTGCAGGAATAAGTCATTGTGCTTGATGACTTTGTCAGGAGCGTGTTGGCGGTCTCTTGGTGGATGCGATCAACTTGCAGGCTGGACTGGTCTGCTGCTGGGCTACCTTTTAGGATCTCTCAGACTGAGGTCTTTGAGTTCTTAGTCAAGCAACACATAGGGGTAGGTCAAAACATGTCAAAACCTACGATTCTTCGATACACAAAGGGGAAGAACAATCCGCACATATCCATAAACATCAGCATTTCTATATGATGTGAACTACATACTGTCTATGCCTACCAGGGTGTTGATGGTGTTGATCGCCAGATTTCCACATCTTCCCAGCGTGGTTCCAGCCTGCCAGTCCTCCCGCGACGCAGCTGCCTTGTGGGCCTATGATTTAGTGATGCGCGAGGAGCGCGATGAGCGCGATGCAGTGGCACCATGCAGTGGCAGCTGGTTGGCATCATGCAATAACTGACTACCTTCACCGTTCTCAAACAAGCTCCAAACAGATTAGGGCCAGAGAAGCCTCCAGGAATCCGTGGAATCCATTTCCAGAAACACTAATATCTGACATATCCATTGCAACTCCTTTCCGGTGATTGCTTCAGTGCTTACGGAAGTCCATGGCTTTGATGGAGTTTCCAAGAAATTGATGGCCAGATTGGGGAAAACGAGAAAAATCACAAGATTTTGGGGTACCTGGGTACCTTATGTTCAGATACCCCTCATAGAGGGGTACCCCACCATTAATGGCAACTGGTATCATCATACTGACCTTGACATATTTGACATATTTTTGCAAAAAGACATCGTTGCAGTTTAATAATTAGGAAGGAGCAACCACACCTTTTGTGGATTTCTTCTGGGGACAGCTCGAAACATGTTTTTATGGCAGAATCAAGCATACACGCCCGAAACATGGATGGGATGTTTAGTTGGAAGCCCTGAACATGCCGCTTGCTCGCGAGACTATCATGTGGTTGATGGTTTCGGACACATGCTCTTTCCATCTCCATCATCTCCGCCCTAAAATGGGATATTTGGAAAACCGTTTTTTTTTTTTCTCCCCCCAAACAATGCCAACATCACCCAGCCTTTTGGGATACCGTAAAAATAACCAACGTTTTCGTCGTCACCCGCGGCAGGATGTGACCTGCGGCTTTAGGGACTTGGTGGTCACTGCACTGCAGATGGACCCTGTGGTGAATGAAGCGGAGCAGTTGGCCGTGCAGGTGCTTGCTCCATCTGGTGGTTGTGGCGTAGTGGAACAGGATGAACAAATTGGAATATTGTATAAGATTCTAAGATGATATAAGATGTTTGTCCCAGACTCAAATATCTTAAAATATCTTAAAATACTTTATGGATTGATTTTGGTAGTGCCAAAATCACCCCCGGACTTGCTTCAGTCTAAGGCCATGCCGAGATGCTTTTGGGTGTTTGCAAAGAGAAACCAACTGTCCAGCTGCATTTTATTTAGATGATATTATATGCGTATATATATATATATGTATATATATATACATATATATACATATATATATATTATGTACACATGACAATATCTGACAAAATCTGACAACATATGACAATATGTGACATGATGTAATATATATATATAATTATATATATATGCATCTCTAGCGACTTTGATCCAGCCCCATGGCTCCAGTGGCCCCGTGAAGCTCTGCGACAGGTGGTGAATCGCGTCCTCTCCGACGAAAGCACCATCCTGGAAGCCAAGCGCGTCCTCCGAGATGCGCTTGCAGACCAGGAGCTACGGAATTCCGCCAAGGTGCCTGGGGGAAGGAAAAACACGCACCGGGGGTTCGAGAAAAAACCTCAGTATATATGAAACCCATATATGGCCCATATTCTTCATCTATTTTTGATAGGAATTAGATGTGCATTTGGAAATAGATGTGCACATCCGTATGCATATGAATATATGGGCGACGCATCAAACAAAGGGATGTGAAACAACCATTGTGCAGCGTTCACATGATTTAAGCAGTAAAATGATCACATGAGGTGGAACTTAGCCACTTATTGCCACTATCATCGCCCAACTGACCCACAAACCTGTGAACATTTTGTTGCATGTGGGATTTGTCAACTTGAACCCCAAGCTCTTAGCAGTTGGTGGACTGCAATCATGTTGGTTAAGGGCTGCCTTGGGGGTTACCCATTTGGCGATTTCAATTATTCCATCCAGAAGGATAATCTCCATTGACTAAGAAAACGGGTCGAAACCATGGACCAAAAGGTTCCACTCCAGCCTCCGGGCGTAGGAAACGCTGTGGAATATCGTGATTCCATGGAGCAGCCAGCGAAGCGGGAGTGCCAAGATGGGGTGCATCCCACATTATGCCCGTTGACTGAGTTTAAAAAAAGAAACGTAATCAGCTGGGGAGGTCAACAGATTCTTGGGTACGGCTGATATTGAATGGTCTGCAAAAGAATGCCGGGAGTAGTGGCAGTGACATCAAGTTCTGCCTGCTGACATGGGCTGAGATGGCAAATTTGACACGATAACATACGAGTATAGCTGGGTTGAACAGGCTCGTTTCCGCAATCCAAAAAAGGCCTGACATTTACAATGGCTACCAATCATGGCCGAACGCAGTGGGCATATCCCAGGTTCAGCCCAAAAAGCAGGTTGTTTGAAAGGGGATGGGTCGAGGTCAAACAAGTTGTTTGTGTACTTCACGCCAATATGCAAAGTATAAATAGGCGTTCCCTCATTGTGCCATCATCAGAACCTGGGGGATGGTCATCAATCCCAACTTAATGGATTTCTCTAGTATGTTTGGACTCCCATGACATCCCATGACGTGGGACGGATGACCATACCCCATTCATCCCGTGAGACGGATGAATATCACAGGTACTGATGAGGTGAAACGGAATCTGCGCGCGGCAGAGGCATGGAATGGCATGGACATCTTGGGAGAATGGAGTGGTCCTCGAAAATTGAGCGGAACACCTCCCGAATCTGATGGTTCATCCAGTTCATCCTCATCTTCTCGATTTCCCCAACCATTTTGTTTGGGACAGAACCACATTGTCACATTTACGTGATTCTCTGTCCTCCAGTTGCATCTAAACTTCCTTGGAGTTTGCAGTTCCCGATCCGCAATGGGTTTCTTTGAAAAATAGAATGCCCCCCAAAATAGAATTTATGGCCACTTTCATACGGAAACAATCAACATCATTACGCCAGTGCATCTTTGTCCGTATGAAACTGGCCATAAATGGGTATGGGTCAAAATTAGGTACCCCAAAATTATGGATGGTTAATAAAGTTAATACTCAACCAGACATTCACATCTGTGGTCCCACATCGGTCTTCCATTTTGACCATCCAAATCGGGGAGGGTTCATCGGTTCATCGCCCACAGCTCGACGCCGAATTGCGCCAGGACTTGGCGGCGTCGCCGTTCCTGACAGAGGAGGAGCGGAACTTTCTGCGGCCGGGCGCCCAGGGATTGACAATGCCAAAAACCTTCTGTTTGGGAATGGCTGGATACCCACCCTATATATATATAATTATATATATATTATATGTGATGAGGTCCGGCTGGATCCTCACCAGGCTTTTCCCCACTACCACTTCTATTTCTTCTTATTTCCCTTCTATTCTTATTTTCTATTCCCTCCAACCAATCTCCACAGCTCCTCTCGCCTCGCTTCACCAAGCTGCCGCTTCTCGTTGTTTTCTCAGCTGGATGCCCTAGTCTGGGCTTCGGTGCTCACGTCTGAGCTCTTGAGAGAAAAGCAGCTATGGTGTCAGCCGCAAATGAGATATCTGCACATGTATGCATATGAAACAGTTGGTAAAAGGCTATGAGGGTATGCTCCATCAGCACTCCCCCTTGAAATTTCCGATAGGTGATTTCACCCCCTATCGTACTTGATCAGCTCAAGCTGCTTCTGTTGGCTGGTCAAAACATGCCGTGCAAATTTGGTAATGGTTGGCACCCAGAGCAGCAGGACATCTCATAATGGAGTGGGCGTCGCGTCCAGTTCCTTTCAGATACAAAACATCGCCTGCTCTTGGAACTGAACCAGATTGATATGCTGAGCGTCTGCATCTACTGCACCATCTTGATTCCGTTGAAATTCCAGAATTCGTTGAGGTCAAATGACGGCAGCGGCGGCTCAAATGATAAACTTCCCCATACCTTGTGGTAAAAACCTTGAATGGCAGTTCTGGAAATTCATCGTCCGGCAGCTGGTCAATTGGACCCAAAATGGCGTCTCCAGGTTGTGCAGCATTCAGCTCGGCTTGAATCAATCGTTCTTCTCTTTCAATTTCATCCCAACTTCCGAAAATGTCCTCCCCCACGGTGGGCATGTGGCTTGATGATGAGGCCTTTGGCTGTTGAACCCTTGGTGTCGGGATCTCGCTTGATTGATGACCCCTTTTTGGTAAACTTTTCACTTTTGGAACCCCTTTTGGTCGCGGAGCCCCTTTTTGTACTGGCATCACTTTTGGCAGCGGAGCAGCAAATGAAGACATAGAGGTGGATGAAGATGCACCAGGAGTGGAACGCTCGCCATGGCTGGAAATTAAACTACCTTCCATAGTCTTTCCTCCTTTCTTTCCATCTTTCTTTTCTTCTCGCGCAGCTTTTCCAGGGAGACTTCCACCTCGAAGTCCAGTTCGCCTTTTGGCGAGACTTTTCACAAGATGTACTCCTACCTTCCAGATCCGCTTGGCAAGAAGCGTGGCCAACACCACGAAGACGGTGTAGCAAACGACCATCCTTTCAAAGGTGAAGCCTTCTCCATCTTTTTTCTCCTCTTCTTCAACTGCCTTCGCCGTTGAGATTGCAGCAGCCATTGTGATCAGTCTGACTGCTTGGGCGGCTTCTGCCCAATTTTTCATCTCTTTTTCCTTTTTCTCCTCATCTTTTCTTTCTTCAACTTCATCTCCTTTTCTTCTTCTTTTATGGTGCCCATGCTCATGAGCTCCTTCAGCTTTTCAAGTCTTGGCGCATGTAGTGGTTTGGTTCCAAGGTCTGCCAGCATTTGATCACCTGGCACATGTTGAAGTGCCCATTCACCCTTGGCAATTGATTGGCGGGCAAATGCCGAGCGCAGGCGCAAATGCCTGGTTCTCCAGCTGCCACCATCGCAGGTGAGAATGGCTTCGGCCGCCTGGCTGTCGGTGTAGGCGGTCTTGGTGACCAAAGGGTAGAGCTCTTGGATGATGACAGCGACCGACTCTCCGGCTGTCATGGCTTCAATGACTTCTGTCATTTCTGACTCGGCCGTCGACAGTGTCACCATTGACTGTCGGCCTGCACGCCAGAAGATTGGCGATCCTTCCAGCAGGATCAGGAAACTTCCATGGCTTTCTGCTCCTTCTGGGGAAAATGAGGCATCAGAAAACGCCTGCAGGTTGATTTCTTCACGGAACTCCACTTGGTATCGGAGCCCTTCTTCAGCTGTTCTTTTCAGATACCCTTTCATCTGTTCTCCCAGCTCCATGACCTTGACAGGGTTTCTGAGGACGTTGGAACCCATTCTGCTCACGCCATACATAAGGTCTGGGCGTGACCTGGTGAGAAGCCAAAGAACTTCTCCAACGCACTTTTGAGCTCCCCGTACTTGGTCAACTGTTGGAGGTGAGCTTGGCTCTTCAATGTGAGCTTGATCACGAGTGATTGGAATTTTTCTTTCCTTCACTTTTTCTTCGCTCTTTTCAACCAGATCTTTGATATATGACTTCTGGGTCGCATACCATACTTCTTTTCCTCCTTCTTCAGTTCTTTTTGAAACTTCCATTCCTAGAAAGCGAATTGGCTCTCCAGAAACGTCTTCTGGCTTGGACGTCTTCCAAATCTCCTGAAACTTTCTTTTGAGGGCTTCGAGGACGGTGGAAGAAGAGCAGATGAAGATGTCATCCACGTAGGTCATCACGAGACCCCATAGCTTTTGTGTTTCATCTCCCTTTTCCAACACCCTCCAAAGATTTGGTTCTGCTTGAAGAGGTAGAAGGTGAAAACTCCTCTCCTTCTTTTCTTCCACTTCAGCTTGAACTTCAAAATCTTCCATTGTTTCATCACGGCAGTTTCCCCAAAGGCGCGGCGATCTTCGAAGACCATAGACAGCCTTCGTTGGCAGGAAAAAGACGTCTTTGGCCATGTAACCCTTTTCAGTGAAGAGCGCAGGTGGCCTGACAACCGAGATGTCTTCTTGATCTCCTTGTTCCATCGCAGCATTCAGGAAGGCCGTTTTGATGTCCAAAACAGTAGCTAACCATTGGTGACGGGCAGCTGCCCATACTGCAATTCTGAATGCAGCTGAGTCTGCACCGCTTGAAAAGGTCTGCTCAGAGTCCTTCTTGGCCTCATAGTTTCCGCAGATAACCCATCGGGTCTTTTTCTTTCCTCCATTTGGGCCAGCTTTCACAGTGAAGACCAGTTTTGACGGGATGATCTCCACGCTTCGACCTTCGGCTGAAGCTTTCTTTTGTAGCTCCTCCAATTCTTTCTTTGTGACCTTCTTCATCGCCTGCTTTTCTTCTAACAGACTTTGAACTTCTTCATTGATGGCAAACAGCCATTCGTTCCAGTGTTGGGCAACCTCCCTTGATGAAATCACCTTTGTTTGAAGGATTTCGTCCTCCTCTGTAGGCTCCTCCATCATTTTCTTCATTTTTGCAATCCACGCCAGCTCGTCCTTCGCAAGTTCTGGGTGGTCTTCAACCATGAGCTTCATCTCTTCTTCAATGATTCGGCTCAATCTCAACTTCAGCTTTTGAAACTTTTCTTCATCTTCTTTTTGACTTTCTTCTGTCTTTTTCTCTTCAAATTCCATTTTTCTCACTGTTGTTTTCTCCCTCAAACGCCTTCTTGTTGTCAGGGCATCCGCAACCTCTTTCTCGATAGCAACCCACTTCTGGTTGGTGATGGGTTCTGTAGCCTTCCTCATGACATACTTTGTGACCCTTGGTCGCTCATCAGCCGGTTGCACCCAATGACCATGTTCTTCAGGCGCTGGGAACAAGTATTTGACCTTCTCCACAGTTGGTTCGAAGACCCCACGGCGCCAAGTGCGTCGTCGCACCAATATCTCCTGCAGAAAGGGCGGAAAAGCTGGAGCATCTCCAATTCTCCAACTTCTGTTGAGAGCGTCAGCATAGCGAGCTGCAAGGGGCCACATTTCGCTTCCAACTTCAGCTTGCTTGAGTAGCCGACGTATATGCGTCTTGAAACTTTTCACTGCTACTTCGACCCGACCATTGGCCCTTGGGTCATCTCCTGGGGTCCTCGTGAGCATGATGCCACGATCCAATGCCCACTTTCGAAATGGACCTGAGAATTCGTGTCCTCGATCAGAATGGATCCTTCCAACATGGAACCCATCCATTTTGAGCTTCAGCAGAAACTCCATTGTGGTCTTTGTGACCTGTTTTGAAGTCTTTGTTTGCATCGGAGCGGCAAGGCGGAAGATCTTGATGTCGAAGCCACCAGGCTGAGGATCTGGATCCCCTTCTTTCTTCTCAGGGGGAGGCAAAAGGTATGGTGGTGGAGGAAGACCTCCCCCTGGAAGCGCTGGATCTTTTTCCCCTTCCTTCTCACCATTTCCCTCTTCCTCCTCTTCCCAAACTCTCACCTGTGCTTCATCGCCTTCTTCCTTACCTTCTTCACCCTCCTTATCTTTCAAAGCTTTTTCTTCTTCTTGATTTTCATTTGGTTCTTCAGGGTTGATGTCGATTTGAGGTTCGTCGCCTTCGGCATCAGGAACTTCTGGTACTTTGAGCTTGTCGGACTCTGCAGGCACAGCCCATGTCAAGGTGCCCACAAGCATCCATCTTGTGTAGAGTCCTCCAATATCTTTGGCAGGGATGAGAGGCCCTGCAACATCCACAGACAAAACTCCTCCAACTGGGTATGGTACCTTTCGATGTGGATTGCACTGCTGCATGGTTTGTTGGCACACTGCACAGTCTCGTCTGTACGGCGTATGGCCATGAGCTATGTGCTCATCCCAGCTCAGTGGACGAAGTTTTGGATGTTGCTGCATGACCTGCAACATCAATGCCTCGGCAACCATGGACATCACACCAGGTGCCCAGCGAGCGAGATCTTTGGACGTTTTGATCTCCCCCTTTTCTTTTCCTTCTTTGAACTTCTTGTGCTTGTTGATCTCGAGGTTCAGGTTTCCACCAAAAGTTGTGGGTTTTGTGGCTACTCCTCCCATGGCTCCTTGTTGAAAGGTCGTTTCTTCCCAAGCAAATTCCTTTTTGAGCGCAGTCCATTCTTTTGTATCCCAGAATGAGACGGTCTCCGGCATATAGTCTTTTGGTGATGCCGGCTGCTCCATCGCAAAGGCAATCTGAGTGGAATCTCCGCGAGCTTCTTTCATGTAGTTGGAAACCATGGCCAGGAAAATCATTCTCCATAGCAGTAGATCATCTTCATGAAGGATTGCGGTTTCAGCTTCAGTCAACCCTTCTTTTCCAAATTCACCACCTCCCCATTCTCGTAGTGGACGCGGACAATTTGGCTGGTCTGGGATCGGATAGTGCCTCAAAACACTTCGGCTCCTGCAGTTTGGACCTCCGACCACAGCCAAAAGTTTTCCTTCCAAGGCAGCTCTCATCAGAGCCGGGTACGACCCCACATCTTGCAAAAGGTCGTGGTTTGGGCCTCTTTTGATGTCAATCTCCAGGAGTGAATGGCTATCCCCACCTTGTTGATGCCACGCTCGAGCCAGTGTGAAGCCTGCGTCTTCTCCGGCAAACAAATGGGCGATGAAACCATCACGTTGAAGTCGCTTTCGGGTCCTGCGGTTTGCAGGAAGTTCAGACCATGAACCTGGCTGCACTGCCAGCTTCGTTTTGATATGTTCAGGAAGCTTTCGAAGAACTGGATGAACTTCTACCAATTTTCGCATCCATTCCACTTCCTCCTTGAAACTTCTTTCTTCTATCTTCCCCAAAACAACTGTTTTTTCCAACTCCTCAATCAGGTCTAAGGTCAGAGGTCGTGATAGTTGAGGACATCCACCATTGAGTTGGATCGGCAAAGTGCCGCGCTTTGGATGATGGAGAAAAACACCTCCTTCACCCCAATCGATCTTGCACCCCAACCGTTGGATGAGCAAACCCATTGGTATGATTGGCTCGATGTCTGGCCTCTTTGAAACCATCACTCCTCCAGGTGTCATGTGCAGCTGTGTGGACTGCCCGTTGGCCAACGTCACCGGCACTGTTTTGTATGAATCCAGCGACTCACCCTGCCTTATTGGACGCAAGGCATGTGTTGCACCTGAATCCACCAGCCCTTGAGAGTTGCCATAGGACACCTTGCTGAGCTTGAAGACCTTCAGTTTGAGAGAGTCAAGTTGCTGTTGCAACCTGTCCACAATTTCATCCCTGGCTTCACTTCCTGCCGAAGATGTTGTAGATGAGGTCGTTGTTGCGGAGGTCAGGTTTTTCAGCATCTTGTTGGCTTGTTCAAGTAGGTCTTTCATTGATGCTTGTTGTTCCTGACTTCCTTCTTCTTCTTTCCCTTTTGAACTTGATGGCGATGACTCCTCCCCCTCAGCTCTTTGTGCCTTCAACCTTGTAGGAGAGGTGTCGCCAGGCCCTTTTGGTCTTGTGCAAGACGGAGCCATGTGTTCTGGACTACCGCAAGTCCAGCATCTCCTTTTTTCATCTTTTTGGTCGTGCGACCACTGGCAGCTTTTTCCACGGCGGCAGCCAGTGTCACTCAGGTAGAACTTGCATTTTCCTCTTTCTTCTCTTGCGTCCTCCTTCTTTGTGGGGGACTTTTCCTCCTCAAGCTTTTTCAGTTTCGCAGCTTTCGGCTTCTCCTCAACCTTTTTCTTTGGGGCATTGGTCGCTTCTTGATGGACGACCTGCTCAAATTCAGCGATCAAGTGCAAGGCAAAGGAAGCCACCGAACTTGAAGTTGGTGTTGAATCCACCTGAAGCGTGGACCTGGCAAGGCTGATTCGAAAACTCAAATCTCGATTCTGCTCCAGTGGCTTGCGGATGATCCTGTTGAGGCCTTTCAGCAACAGGAAAGGATCTGGTTCTGAGATCCTCAAATCAGCAGCTCTTCTTCGCCACCTGGACCATTTTCTCAAATTTTGGACTGCTTCGCTGAGATTGGCTGATTCCGGTGGTTGTTCCAGAGATCGTAGGATCAGCTCTTTTTCTGCTAAACCTCCAGGTTGATAAATCACCAGAAGTTGACATATGATGGAGAGTGCAGTCAGCCTCTTCGATGAGATGAGTTCTTCTCTTTGAGGTTCTGGCACGGCCATCAGCAGCAAAGTTGATGCTCTCCTCTCAAGCCTGGCCCATCGTTGCTTGGCCAAGTCTGAGGATGGTTTTGGTAGGTGTGCAACTCGTTCAAGTGGTGGAAGCTGCATATGCCTCTCATACCATTGCTGCGCTTCTTGAACCAGTAGTTGCCACCATTGACTTGAAGAGTTGGACAGGTCACTCATCATTGGCTCAATGAGCGCCATCCAGTCGTTGAGGTCTATAGGTCCTGACGTCGAAGACCATTCTGCCAGAGCTGGAAGTGCAGGTGCTTGGCGAACTGCTTCGGATGTTTCTTCGTCATCCCTTCCATGCATCATTTGTTTCTGAAGAGCTTGCATGCCTTCCATGAGTTTGAGCATCACGAGCACCGTACTGCTATCTTCATTTTCTTTTGGTGGTCTATCAGCCTCCTTTTTGGTGGTCTCAGCCTTTCCTTCGGTGGTCTCAGCCTCCTTAGTGGTGGTCTCAGCCTCCTTTTTGGTGGTCTCAGCCTCCTTACTGGTGGTCTCAGCCTCCTTACCTTTGGTGGTCTCAGCCTCCTTGGTGTTCCCTTCAGGCGTTGAAAACTTCGGGTCTTCATTTCCCTTTTCCAAAACTTCTACACGATCTCTCAACCTCCTATTTTCATCCATCAATTCTTTCAATTCCTTTTTCAACTCCATGTTTTCTTGAGGACCAACTGAGGGCATGTACGGATAGACAAATGGCGTTTGGTCTACCATACCTGCAGTACCTTGAAGCCTTCTTTCATCTTGTTCAAGAAACAGCGGTCGAGCAACTGGATGTTGAAATGGTGGTGGAGGTATCGGTATCTGACCTCCTTGAGGGTAAAGCCAAGGAGCTTGCGCATACAACTCCTGGAATCGCCTCAATTGTTGATCATCAAAAAGTGGTTGTGCTGGAGAGATCACTGCATCGGTCTCAGGGGAACGACCAATCAGCGCATGTTGTGGTGTAGGGCCATTTGAAGCGCCCTGCAAACTTACCTTGGTACCACTGGGTCTGTCCTCAATGGCAGCAGGCTCTTTGACTTCAGGACTCATTCTTCCCTTGGTCAAAGATCTTGGACTTTTCACCTCAGGTCTCACTTCAGCTTTTGCCTCAGGTCTTTCAGCGGGTTCCTGAGTGGCGGAAATTTCCTGAGATGGTGCGGACTCAGGCAGTGCAGGGACAAAGGTCTTTGGGGTTCCTTTAGGCATCTCCTCACTTCCCTTCGCTATATCCCTCTGGGACACTTGGGGGGATTCGAAACCTTCGGCCTCTTTTCCTCCATCTTCTAACTGCAACTCACCTGATTCCTCCATTTCTTTGGCTAGCCTTTCATGGGCTTCCTTCATTTCTTTTTCACCTTGTTCTAGTTCTTTTCTGCTGGCTTTTCTTCGGCCATACATCATTTTTGGCTTTTCTGGGAGTTGGTGGAACCTCTTGGGCTCATAACCTGATGAGGTCCGGCTGGATCCTCACCAGGCTTTTCCCCACTACCACTTCTATTTCTTCTTATTTCCCTTCTATTCTTATTTTCTATTCCCTCCAACCAATCTCCACAGCTCCTCTCGCCTCGCTTCACCAAGCTGCCGCTTCTCGTTGTTTTCTCAGCTGGATGCCCTAGTCTGGGCTTCGGTGCTCACGTCTGAGCTCTTGAGAGAAAAGCAGCTATGGTGTCAGCCGCAAATGAGATATCTGCACATGTATGCATATGAAACAGTTGGTAAAAGGCTATGAGGGTATGCTCCATCAGCAATATGTATATATATATAGATATCTACCATGTGGGGCTTATGATACACCCATTTAGTGATATTTTATGGTTGGGGATGGTTTATGCTTTTGAAACCACATGATGTCCATGTTGAAAGTTCCGTCCAGATTCTTCCATACAGGGCTCGGTCCAGCGTCGCGACGGGCGCGCTGCTGGTACTCGTTCCTTTGTTGATTGTTAGGCTAAAACAACAGCAACTAATGCTGTGGTGGAAGTGGTTTTGGCTGCAATCTAATTATTCTTCTGCTTCTTCTTCTTCTCATATACCATCATTCCCTGATCATTGCAAGATTTGATTTCCCCAGTCCTGCTTCGTTCAGTTCCAGTTGCTCCCAGCGCGTTGAGGTCTTTGCAACTGCGGCTCAAAAACGATGGAGCGAAACGGCCCAGCCGCTTGGCTCCTTGGGGAGAGCAGCGAAATGTCAGATGCAGGGCACACCTTGTGAATCCCTTGACACACCCGCCAAAAGAAGGGCCCACAGGTCCTGTCAGGTTCCGAGCTAGAGATATAAAATCACAAACTGTAAAGGGATGTAGAAAATTCATCGAACATCCAGGCCTCACAAAATTGGATGATGTCAAATTGCCCCCCCAAAAATCAGAAGCTGCGGTTTCAGGATGCCCTCACTTGATCGCCACAGGCGCAGAGCCCAGCAAGAAGAGCTCTGCTTCGACGAGGTTCGCTGATAGAATTTTGGAGGAACTGATGGACATTTGATGGACGTTCAATGAACAATCGATGAACATTGGAACTTTGGAGGGGGATCCATTCGGAGCCATCATCCAGTGGCCATAGGGAAGAGCCAGCTCCTGCGACGACAACGACCAGCCAAGAAGAGGTGCACCAGGAGGCAGCAGATCCACCAGCCACACCCCAGGCGGGTTGGGTCAGCCCAGTTTGAGCGATATCAAGTGGGGGTTTCTTAAGTCATGGGGGATCCCCAAGTCACCATGGGTTTCAATTCTAAAATGGTCTAGTTTGGATGATTTGGGGGTACACCCCATTTTAGGAAACCTCCAAATCGGTATTCCCCGCAATTGATTCTACAGCCCAGGGCATTCAAATTTACGGACCAATTTGAAAATAATGATTTACGCTCACCAAAGAACAAAATATAACATATAATTAGTCTAAATTGGTCAATAAGTCAGTTCGAAAAGTTATATAGTTTGTCATTTGTGCAATCTGCGTTTTTACGTAGATTTAATATTATATAGACACATGTGCCATGGTCAAGAGTTGGATAGCTCCTGGGCTCGAGCCTTCACGGGGCGGAGCTGTTGCCTTACCGAGAGAGCCATGTCATATTCAAAGGAACATGATGCCCTTAGAAAATGTGGCGTCTCCAGCTGCAAGGCGCCAAGCACGCCGAGCCCTGCGGCTCCAGCGGCTCCTGCGGCTCCTCAGGTCGGTGGACTGCACCATGGATGGGATTTAAGGGCAGGGATGTGGAGTTCAACTTTTAGGGTGGATACACACCTTTGGGGTTAATCTTTAGGGGGGGACAGTGGGAACTACTAGAGGTAACAGACACGACATCAAACACATTGGACTCCATTGGATACACACCTTTAGAGTTAACCTTTAGGGGGGGACAGGGGCTTGGGGGGACAGGGGACCGGGGACAGGGGATAGTGGGAACTACTGAAAGCAAGAGCCACGACATGAAACACATTCGACTCCATTGGTTGCACACCTTTAGGGTTTATCTTGTTGACATCTTCGGATGCATCGATATAATATATGTTTCATTATGTTCCTATTGATACTGTAGCCATGTATGTCTGACGTAGTCCTAAGCGGGCCAAAACGTAGACGTTTTGCCTAAGCGCGAAAAAGTCGTCGTAAGTGATCCTTTGACCGGATTTAAGCATCAAAAATTATGAAACTTGAGTTTAACTTGCTGAAACATGGGGGGTTTCAAAAGGAAACATGACATCTCGTGGATTGGCATATGGGGAAAGCTTAGAGGAAAACCAATGGTTTGGACTGAATTCCTTTCCTTTCAACCAGTTCTGGCTAGAAGGGTGCCTTGACTAGTGGTGAAGAAAGTTCACCATCATGAGCATTGTTGAACACGTCAAGAATCTTGGACTGCCTCTTATCGCTTCTCATGACATGTGCTTGAGGTATGGGGATCCCAATTTTGTGGGACTGCAAACAATTGATGGCTGCTGGATGTGTTGTTGAATCACTGTTACAGCAGTTCATCCTGCAAGACCGAAACGTTGCATCCATCCCGGAAACTGTGGGCTGATGTGGACTGAGATGTCTTATACTTCGCGGCAGGCGACCCAGAGTCCACCCTTGAAAGCATTGAAGGGCCCTGAGGAACAGAAACTCCTGGAATCTGCAGGTGCGAAACTTGGTGCCTATCCAAAAGACCCTACAATGGATCTAAAAGTATCTCTCAAGACATGGGATGGCAGGGAACCTCCCCGAAACTCTCCTCCGAAGAAACCTCTTCCGTAGACTTAGACTATGCCAGCGCTGAGTGATGTTCGACATGACCCAGGTGGAGCCGTAACGCCCGAGGCGCAAAAGGACCGGGGATCTCAGAGTTGAGTCTAAGCATAGCTGGTTAGACTGGTTAGACCTCGGTGAATCCTGAAGTTTGATCTCTTGAGACCAAAGAGCTGAGTGTTGCGCATGGAGACAGAGACTGATGTGTCGATTCGAAAGCACCATGTGTCTGTTCTGGATAGGAGATATAGGAGTGAGACACGACCTGATGATCAAAGGCCCCGCAATAGACGGTCACCGTTTAAGGACTAGCTCAGGATTGCAGGATTGGAGAAATCGACACAGTCCAAGCATTGAGTCCGTGTAACTTTAGGTAGCTCGAAAGTTCAATCATTTATCTGGAGCCTCTTGCGCAAATCATTGAATCCAGCTCGATGTGGTTAGTGAATCACACCCTGTCACAAACTGTCCCACCCAAGATTGTGCCATGCAAAGACCAGAATCAGCGCCTATTCTCACAGATCTCCAAACTCTTGTCTTGAGAAAAAGAAAATATGTCAAAACCATTCAATGTTAATCATTGTCAAGCTGATTTGAATGGTTAATCATTCATGTGAAATGCTGCAAATACTTGTGATGCATGGCCTGCATGGCCAGGTAGTCCAGACTCATCCGACCTGCGTGCAGCGGCGCCGACCTGCGCCGGACGAGAGCGTGGAGGACAAGCGTGCTGTACAGGCGACACAGCGGCATGGCAGGGCCTAGGCGAAGAAAACAACAGGCGATGCAGTGCCCAGTGCCCAGTGCCCAGTGCCCAGTGCGCGCGCTCCAGGGAAAGCACCTCGAGCAATGAGCACCAGTGTTTAATGAGTAGAATGATGATTAATAGGGGTAGCTATCCCCAGAATTATATGTATATAATTTATCCAGAATGATAGGGAGATCATGGTTTGTCCTGAGATTGATGACTCAACGGCTGCTGACCTCTTCACCTACAGACTCTTTTCCGGTGTTTGTGAATCCTGGAGAGGCCTTTGCAAGGGGTCTGCATCCGGCTGCCTGGGCTCGCAGTGCTTACAGCAACCGTTTCGCGGAACAGCCTGCGTCAAACGCGGAAAAAGCGAAGGGGCCGGGGAAAGAAGTCAGCGACCCCGTGGAAAAGCTATATATGCTACTTCTGTACATATCCTTCTAAACCATGAATGGGAATCGGGCAAGTTCACGCCATCCTGCGACTTGACAAGTTGGGTAACCCTTCTCACTTTTCGATCTAGGGTTCTGCCACTGTACTTTTCTTTCTTCCACGACTGATTTTCAGCATGGCAGCAATCTCTACCTGTTGATTGTTGCTGGCACTGGCTGCAGTATGGTCTGAAAAAAGGTGTAGTACGGCTCCGGTGTCCGTCCCGGCAGCGGGGCGGTGGCACCCTTTTCAGGCACAGAAGATTTGGATATGGCTTTCCGTTCCATGCGATCCTTCTGTTCCAGGTAGGAGCGCGGAGGAATCATGAGGAATCCAAGTTCGCCACGTCAAATCCCCACGGCCTTGGAGGGTAGACCGGGACACGAGGTGCCCCCTATGATGCTGCTGGAAAACGACGATTGTGACCCGCATGAACAAAGATTTGAGCAGATGCTGCAGAAATACGACGCCTGGACCTGAGGTACGCCAGTAGACTCAGTAGACTTTAGGATGTTTTCTATCAGCTACATTTCAGTACTTCAGAACTCTGTAGACTCTGTAGGCTGGAGTTCAGTTTAAGTCATTGAAATGGCTGGAATATGCTGGAATAGAATCCCCATTCCCATTGTTAATATGATATCCCCATGATATTCCCCATGTCTTTGCGTTCCTATCAGCTCAGGTTTCCGAGCCAAAGGCGCTAGGCGAAGGGACCTATGGAAAGGCGACTGGATGGAGAATTTCACATACCCCAATGGATATGGGAAATATGAGGAAATGCGGGGAAGTATGGGGTGCTATGATGGGGGTAGTTTGAAGTAACTACGCACTCCCCCAACTGACAAAGGGTTTATTTGAGTTTTGAGCTTGGGAAGTACGGGTGGTTTCCTTTCGCTACACCCATACTCTGCAGCTTACTGACCAACCATTTTCTTCCCAGACGATGTGGGCTGCTACGGTTGACCATCTTTCATTGGTTTCATGCCTCGATTGTTGAGTGAGACACCCTCTATTGGGGTCCAATCAGGCCAAAGTGAGATGGGAACTCCTTCGAGGGGGGAAACTGTACACCATGAGCAGGTCTACAAGGCCGTCAGTAAGCAGACTGGCAAGGCACAAAGGGTAGCGCAGAGTGCTCCAAGCATATCCAGATTTCAGCTTTCCAAACAAATATCAACATATTCGCCCCAGCTGCAGTGTTCATTTTGTCTATTGTCAAGGGATCAGGTGTTCCACAGGCAACTCCATTTTGGACGGATGAACGTGGGGTAAGGACCTATGGCAACTCACTCCTGAGTGCATTTGGGTGGTGGCTCGTTGCCCTTGCTGTTTCACGTTTCGAGCTTTGGGCAGTCGAGCGCATCTTACTATGACAGGAATGTAGCATTTGCTCAATGTTGACCTCCCCCAGACCCAACTTGTCATTTCATTGGCCAAATTACAGCATCATCCATTGATCCACATCATTATGGGTTGCACTCCATTGGTAACAGTTTGTATCACCCATGAAAAAAGCCCATTCATAAGAATCATGCAGAGCAAAAGGCAGTGTTTCACACTTCAAAAAAGCATAAAAAACTACGGTCATGTGTCCAGGCCCAAAGGAATGGCAGCTGTGAAGCATCTAGTCATCCACTGAACCTCTGTTGAACAGTCTCAAGTTTCACAGCTTGTTGAGATACAAACGACCCTTGCAGCCTATGGCTGCGGTGATGCCTCACGAGTCAGACTCAACTGCGGATGAGCACATCGAGACCGAGTCCGACGGAGCTAGCGACTTCAGCGAAGATGAAGATGCCTCACTCAGAGACGAGTTCATAGGCTGTATTGGGATGTGTTGGGACGAATTGGATGAAGATTGCAGACGATTCATTCCCGGAAGTGTGTTCAACCGCGTGTACCTCTGGGTTCCCTGCTATCCCCAGATCCAAGTCAATGGCCAGCTTTCCAAGTTTTTAAGATGTGCGTGGCAAAAGCTACAGGCTTTATTATCAATGTACCCTCCGTAATCAAACCTGATTTGCTGGAAAATCCCCATTTAGTTCGAGGATTTTCCCAGCTGTAGTTATAGGATGTTATAGGTGGTCTTCCCATAGTTTCTCATTTGCCATTTACTCATGATTTTGACTCATAGCCATTTTTGGGGTTTCCTAAGTCATGGAATACCCCAAGTTGGCTGGATGGTTTGCAGGGAAAATCCCAATCTTGATTTTCCAAATAAAACATCCATGGATTGGTTTGTTGGGGAAAATCTACAGGAAACCATGGTTTTTCCCATGAAATATGGGGCTTTCCTGTAAATTTTCCCATAAAAACATCCATTTCGTTTGGGAATTTCCCGGCCATGTTTCATCATCGGAGGGTGGCCGCCCTGGCTCCAGGCCGCCTGCACGAGATGGGCTTTGATGAGAAGAAAGCCGTGCCTCTACGGCGGAAATCCTATGTCCTATGCTGAAGAGAGAGGACATATGTCACAATGATTCACAATGTATATATATATATAATTATATATATATTACTATATATAATATATATTATATACTATTATATATATATATATTATATACTATTATATATATATTATATTATATATAATATATTATATATTATATATAATATATTATATATTATATATAATATATAATATATTATATATTATATATAATATATTATATATTATATATTATATATTATATATTATATATTATATATTATATACTATATATTATTAATTATATACTATATATTATATATATATTATATAATATTGTATTATATATATTATATTGTATATATTAATATATATATATCGTATATGATATATATATATATATACATGTATATATATATATATACGTATATATATACTATTATATATATATATATATATATATCATATACGATATATATATATATACACTCATTATTACTATGACCATTATTATTATTATTATTATTGTTTTTTTTTACTATGAGTATTACAGTACTGTTATTATCATTACACTATGTTATAGACACATACATTACTATGTGATATTATTATATGTTGTACAGTTGTACATATTTATAAATGGGAATATGCTTCATATGATATAGTATTCACTATACAATCTATGATATGTGATATATTATGATTCGGAGTCTCGGGCTTCAAAGTCTACAGCAACTGACTGTCTCGCCAGATTAGAGGCGTCCGATTGTGAATTTTTATCTGATCAAATGCAGATCTATTGAGATCAATTTGTGCATCCGACTATCTTCATGTGGTCCTTTGCCATCTACCTTTTCTAGCTCCATACAGCCAAGCGCCCCGAGGTCCGAGCCTTGGAAGCTGCGCAGGGTGACTTGGGAAGGGCAGTGGAGATCCTAAGCAAAAAAGCTGAGTCCAAGAAGGATCAGAATTTGCAGCTGGTCTCAGCGGGTGCTGTCGGGTTTGCGCGCTGAGGTCAAGGGTGAAGTGGGCCTGGTGGGCAAAATCTTGCGGGGGGCAGCTAAGGCAGATGATGCTAGACATGGGCTACGCGGAGGATGCCGCGCACAGCGCCTTGCAACGCTGCGGCAGTGTGGACGAGGCGATTGATCTCATTGCCTCAGAGGATGCCCAGGACCCAAGGGTAGAAGTGGCACCGCAATGACGGCATAGGCATGGCATGGCCATAGAGAACCAGTCCTTTAACTGTTGTGCAGATGGTTGACCAGCAGTAGAGACTTTCCGCATGCCGTAGCCTTTTGGCCACATCAAGGGGGGGCGGGACTCACTGCACATTTCAGCAACAGTTTCAGCCAAGTTTGACCACAAATCCCCCACTATATGACCCATAACTACCTCCAAACTGTCATTTTTGCACAAGGCCAGAAGATCCAGAAGTGGATTTTGGAGAAAATAGATGAAAATAGTGTAAGATTGAAAATGGCTACACGTTTTACTTCTTCCCAGACCACGCTCCGCCGATCAGCCTGATTGATTGCATGATGGCTGGATTTAGCGAGGCTCCTGAACCTGAAGGGTTGGTTAAACTGGGTGGGAAGATGGGTGACGTATTCCTTGAGGTACTTGTTCTGGAGGAACTACGAATACTAAGAGAAATAAACATAACAAAAGCCGGGACATTTATGGCTTGTTGATGATATGAGTCTGTTGACGACAGTGAAAGTTTAGAGTTGTTAGAAGAGGTTGCCACCAACTTCTCCTATTACGACAAGTCTAGCCTATTCTAGTCAGAAAAGCAACGAAAAGCACTGTTCCATAAAGTGGCATGCGGCCTAATCACAACATGCTTTGTGGCGGTGTTTAAGCCCAGCTTGGCAACTGAATAGCATCCTATAGGCATATTTTGACAAAACACCGCCAGACACGGCCGTTCTTTTGCAAGTTCCAGTGGAGATTCGCATTTTCTTGGCCTTGGATGTTTCCGCACTGTACAATAGTTAGGGGCTGAGTTGCTCCTGCAATTGATATTTCAGCGCGTGGAGTCGGGGAACTGATCACACACTTACTACATGCAGTTGAACAAACGGTCCCCGAAGCATACATATGTGCAAAATGCTCTGGTTTCACTGGTGTCAATTTATCAGATTCCAGCCGATTCACAGAATGTTCGATTTCTTGGGCCAGGAGCCACTTGCAATGTCTTCCGAAGACACAACAGCGCCTTGGCTTTCCCAAGTCTGTGCAGTCTGTGCCACAGTAAAAGTTGATGATATACTAGGGGATGGTCTTCCCCTATTCATATGGGTATTTTTGGCTTGACAATGTTTAATATCATCCATTTCATTACTTGGGGAATTGCTTTTTCAGGAATATCATGGGATGACTAGGTGCCCTATTCCTCCCATGGGTCCCATGATGCCTGAGGACTCTGCATGGGGAGCTTCGTTTGCCCCCGGAGATGAGCTGCTAAGCGGAAACGATCTCCTTCAACGCATCCAGGTAGATTGCAGGCAGGGATGAAAGACGAGCTGCTTAAAACACATTAAACCAATTTTGTGTCTGTCAGGTTGGAGATTGTTGCTGGCAAATGAGAATGTAGTTAAGTGATGTTAAGTGTAGTCAATGCAATCAGGTCCGGGCGTTCATTGTTGCTTTCCTCCTTTTCTCTGCAGTAAGAATATGCTGGTCAGATGCACAGATTAAAGCAATCAGCATCCGGGCTGGGGTGGAGCGGGTGGGGTCGTTCCTGGTCACACCACATGTGGGATGGGGATGGATGGGGTGGGGTGGCCTGGTGCTAACCAGATTGCGCCAACACGTCACACTCATGAGTTTAACTTCGTGGCTTTGTGCAAACACATCCGGCCCCTTCCAGGGATTTTCCAGGGTATCGGTGCCTTGTTGATGGTTCATTGGGTAGGTTCAAGAATTCACGAAAGCAGGACGCCAAAAGTCTATGCCAGAGATCCAGCAGAAACAGGTTTCATTCAATTTTCAGACAGACCCCTGCTAAAAGTTTCAGGCATGCATCGCATCTTCAATGTTGTTGTGTCAAACCACTCTTTTCTGAGCCCGGAAATAAGAGCTTTGCAGCCTCTGTTGGGAAGGGGAAGGGTACAGCAGTGAGGCACTGGTTGCTCCAGAATCGGCCACAGAAGTTCCTGCAAATTTTCCTTCAGAATTTCCCTTCAACCAGTCTTTTGTGGATGGCAACTTCAACAGAAAATCGCTGCGAGGCCGTCGCATGTCGACAGTGCCGGACACCCTGTACATCAGCAGGACCAGGCAGAAGTCATGTGGGAACCGACATCAAGAAGAACTGACAAACATGGCTTTGTCTGACAATAAAATACCCAAGATCCATCGGTTTACCGTCATTTCCCCTAGTAGAACAGCAATTTTGGGGTATGCCGGTATGCCCCATTTTTGGACACAGCCAATAGTCAAAGTATCAAACCTTCTACTCAGAACCTCAGAAAGGATTAGTCATCAAACGTACAGGCGCACAGGCTGTCAGACTTTGTGTTGAGTCGGCGAATAAACAAATAGATTGATGAGCAACAGTATGAATCATACACACTTAATAAATAAACATGTATGTATATGATTGTGTAAATGTTATATCATAGTATGTGTGTATGTGCACGTGCATGTGCATCCTGATACCGTATAATTACCGGATACAGTATACTATACCGTAGACCGTATACGAGCGTATCTACAATAAATTTTCATGTAACAGCTGAGGTATCTGAAGGACAAACTCCTATATGGCTACTTAATAAGTATAAGGAATAACTAGAATACACATTGGAAGATACAACAATAGAAATTGATAACATAACTTACATAGATTCATCTAAAGAAGTTCATCAAAAAATATTTAAAGACTCTCAAGAAGAATAATATCTCATTTACAATTGAATTCTTTGAATTTAGTTAAAGAAGAAGATGCAGAAAATATTTATAAACAAATAAGGCAAATTTATTGTGATCAAGATAATTCATATGGACAAAAACTTATAAAATCAGTAGATAAAATTAGCATACATGAGGTAACAAAGAGAAAAACAATTAATAAATATAATAAACATTTTTATATAGAGGATTTGATGTAATAATAACTTTAGAAGAAGATGATACATTACCTTATGGAATGCTCCACTCTTTTGGACCAATGAATGGATTCAAGATTCAAGATTCCTAGGGACTCTTTCCAGCAAATCTTGAACCTAAATCTTGAATCCAACCACTGGATTCAAATTAAGATTCAAGATTCCCACGAACTCTTTGGCTTCACTGGTGTCAATTTATCAGATTCCAGCCGATTCACAGAATGTTCGATTTCTTGGGCCAGGAGCCACTTGCAATGTCTTCCGAAGACACAACAGCGCCTTGGCTTTCCCAAGTCTTTGCCACACTAGGGGATGGTCTTCCCCTATTCATATGGGTATTTTTGGCTTGACAATGTTTAATATCATCCATTTCATTACTTGGGGAATTGCTTTTTCAGGAATATCATGGGATGACTAGGTGCCCTATTCCTCCCATGGGTCCCATGATGCCTGAGGACTCTGCATGGGGAGCTTCGTTTGCCCCCGGAGATGAGCTGCTAAGCGGAAACGATCTCCTTCAACGCATCCAGGTAGATTGCAGGCAGGGATGAAAGACGAGCTGCTTAAAACATATTAAACCGATTTTGTGTCTGTCAGGTTGGAGATTGTTGCTGGCAAATGAGAATGTAGTTAAGTGTAGTCAATGCAATCAGGTCCGGGCGTTCATTGTTGCTTTCCTCCTTTTCTCTGCAGTAAGAATATGCTGGTCAGATGCACAGATTAAAGCAATCAGCATCCGGGCTGGGGTGGAGCGGGTGGGGTCGTTCCTGGTCACACCACATGTGGGATGGGGATGGATGGGGTGGGGTGGCCTGGTGCTAACCAGATTGCGCCAACACGTCACACTCATGAGTTTAACTTCGTGGCTTTGTGCAAACACATCCGGCCCCTTCCAGGGATTTTCCAGGGTATCGGTGCCTTGTTGATGGTTCATTGGGTAGGTTCAAGAATTCACGAAAGCAGGACGCCAAAAGTCTATGCCAGAGATCCAGCAGAAACAGGTTTCATTCAATTTTCAGACAGACCCCTGCTAAAAGTTTCAGGCATGCATCGCATCTTCAATGTTGTTGTGTCAAACCACTCTTTTCTGAGCCCGGAAATAAGAGCTTTGCAGCCTCTGTTGGGAAGGGGAAGGGTACAGCAGTGAGGCACTGGTTGCTCCAGAATCGGCCACAGAAGTTCCTGCAAATTTTCCTTCAGAATTTCCCTTCAACCAGTCTTTTGTGGATGGCAACTTCAACAGAAAATCGCTGCGAGGCCGTCGCATGTCGACAGTGCCGGACACCCTGTACATCAGCAGGACCAGGCAGAAGTCATGTGGGAACCGACATCAAGAAGAACTGACAAACATGGCTTTGTCTGACAATCAAATACCCAAGATCCATCGGTTTACCGTCATTTTCCCTAGTAGAACAGCAATTTTGGGGTATGCCGGTATGCCCCATTTTTGGACACAGCCAATAGTCAAAGTATCAAACCTTCTACTCAGAACCTCAGAAAGGATTAGTCATCAAACGTACAGGCGTACAGGCTGTCAGACTTTGTGTTGACTCGGCGAATAAACAAATAGATTGATGAGCAACAGTATGAATCATACACACTTAATAAATACACATGTATATGATTGTGTAAATGTAACTATATGTGTATGTATATCATAGTATGTGTGTATGTGCACGTGCATGTGCATCCTGATACCGTATAATTACCGGATACAGTATACTATACCATAGACCGTATACGAGTGTATCTATATCTATATCTATACCTAGATCTATTATCTATATCTATCTATTTTACAGGTATACATGTATATGTGTATAATATATATATATATTATATATGTGATATATTGTCATTCTATATCTATATTATGTATATCTATATGCAGTCCTTTTCCAGGGCCTTTTTGCGCCATAGCAAGTTGTGTAACTTGCCGGAACTGGACAGAACAACCAGGATGATTGCGGAGCTCCGCCAGATGAATCAATCATCAACGAGATCGTGGATGAGGCATGGTCTTGTCAGGGTCCCTGCTCTTACGGGGGGTTTCCATCATTGGGGAGTACCCCAATAGCTGGATGGTTTAGAAAGTTTAGAACAGACAATCCGATTTTAATAAATGGATGATTTAGGAAACCTCCAATACAGATTAAGACTTTGAGATACTCTAAGTCCTGGCTGGGCAACTACAGATGTGATTTTGATAATGTACTTGGTTCAAAATTTCCAGGCCCTTTTTCAAGAGAACATGAAACATTTCTCCATTTTGGCTTCTGCATTGCCTTCAGAGAAAAAATTGCCGTTTTTGATCAGGCGTCAATCAGGGCACAATCTCAGAAGTCGACGGCTGCTTCTCAGCTAATTTTCAGCTGCACAGGATGTGGGGCCCAAACCACGAAAAATCGCAATCGAAATATTGGACGGCCTCTGACAAAATACAATGTAGGGTACACAGAGTGTGGCAGTCTGGAATCGAGGCATAGTTTTTACACATGAGCCATGCATATAGAATCATATATATATATATACATATATCGATATAAGTATGTATATATATATATATCAATATATATATATATCAATATATATATATATATCAATATATATATATATATATCAATATAATGATATAGCTGTATATATATATATAGATCAATATATAATACACATAATATATATATATATATATTATGTACATTATATATATATACGTAATATATATATACACATAATATATATATATATATATACATTATATATATACACATAATATATATATACATTATATATATACATAATATATATATATACACATCATATATATATATATGTGTATATATATGTGTGTATATATATATTGTAATATGGGTTCTCAAGGGGCAAATGCTTTGCAACGATATCGCAACAACCTGTTCGTGCATTTTGGGTTGTTGGATGTTGGCCAAATTCCTCCGTTGAGGATAAGGGGCAAGACGAGTGTCGCCCATCCCAGAAGGAGGTCCCACTTCCCCACATGAACGACAAGGCGTTGCTGCGTCTGCAAGACTGTTGCAGGGACCGTGACCCCAGGTGGTGGCGAATACTGCTGCCGATTTGTTACATGACCATCTTTGGAGCGAGTTTGGCACTGATTGTGCTTTGGGCCTTTGTTTTCTTTCCCTTTCAGAAGCCAGAGATGGGTTTTTGGAGAAATTGGATGTTCAACTTGGTGGCGCATCCTGTTGCAAACTACATCGTTGCTCGAGGGGTCATTGGGTGGTTCGCGAGACAAATCTTGTGGGACCTGGAGAGCAGGCCTTCTTTGTGCAAAGCGCAAAGACCAGGGATTACAAGACAGATTGAGAGATCTGTGCATCTGGCGCCGATAGCCGACTCACTTTGGTGTGCCAGTGAGCATGTGCTCTTGTCCTTTGTGAATGTTTACCCAATTCCATTCTCAGCGCCGCTCTCCTGCATCCCAGCAGCATTTGTGAGCATGGTAGTTTTCTACCTCCTCCTTCCCAAAGAGGTGCGAGCTCTCCAGAGCACACCGAACTTTGTGAAGTTCACATTCATCGCTTGGACTGCCTACTGCCTTTTCTATGCTGGGATGCTTTTCTATACAGCCTTTTTCAGCAAGGTGGAGATGGGAGTGCAGTTAGTGATGACCTTGTCAGTTTGCGCAGTAGAGTTCGTTGTGGTTGTAGCAAGGAGGAAACTTGGCGAGCGGTGGAACATCCCTGCTCACATACTGCGGGAGATGCGGACTTGCATCAAGCTTCCGGTGATCATCTTCAAAGCCTCCATCTTATCTCAAGCCAAAGGTACTTGGGTTTTTCTCAGCATGGTTCTGCCAGAATGCCTGGAAGTTGGAAATTCTGTCGGGCTGATATTGTTGGATCTCGTGTCAAGCAACAAGAGTGCTCGACCTTTGACCAATGTCAGATCGGCGCGGCAGCTAGTACAGACCTTCAAGGATTTGCGACGAAGGCTGAAAGATGTCGCTAAATGCTGTGAACAGATTTCAAAGAAGGATCTTCATCAGATAAGTTGGGCAAAGGAAGATGTCAAATTGCTGAATGAAGTCTCCAGCTCACTCTCAGCAGTCGTCATGTTGGAAGTATGTGAGATAATGGCCCCTTTGATTTACATATGTCTTTTGTTGTGCTTGCAGAGCAGCACTTTCTTGGGCCACAACAGCTCTTACTTTCTGGGATTGGCAAATGCCAACTTTGAGGAAAGTCTCATCGCGAACAGCTACAGCCTTTTGCTTGAAGCAATTCTGTTGCTGGTCACAGAGCTGTGCATGAGGGCGGTGATTGGAATGAGCTTCTGTAGCTTCATTGGCTTCGTTCTCCGTTGTGATTTCAGTTTCTGGTTGAGTACGTTCTCGATGGCGTACGTTGGCTGGCTGACGATGTTAGTCCAGCACTCCGGCCACGATTTCAAGTTTCAATTCTCTTGGCTGCCTTGAACCGCCTTGGGGGCTTTGTAGTATTCTTCGCCAAGCAACTGGTCCTGGCCAATAAGACTGGATGAGGGTGTCGTTTTTTTGCAAGTCATGAGATTAAGAGATCTTAAGAGCTGGAAGATTGACTGAGACTAGGACCAGTTTTGCTCTCACACTTGTCCTTTTTGCTGGCACAGCAGGTAAAGAGCAAAAACAGTTGCCGCCGGCAACCAGGTTTCCTCTCAGGTTTCCCCAGGTGCCGTTGCCAAATTATCGCTTAGCTTAGATCCATTTAGATCCCCATCATGTCTGAACTCTGAACCAAAATTCTGTTGCTTCATCTACCCAACGTTGAGAAGTGTGTCTGAAAAATGAGGTTCCAAATGATTGGATTTGGGCGTTTTCCTCCATTTTCATGTGCCGCGCCCATTTTGTTCGCAGTTTGTTCAAAACGAATCATACGAGAAAAACAATCCAGAACATACTATAACATACTATAACTCTCCAGTTGATTAGTTAAGAATGGTTCCGATACAAGCAAACCATCCAGTTGCTTCGGTGGTTCTGGTGCTTGGGATGTCAGGAGCTGCCACGTGCGTGTGATCGCAGCCGCAGCCGCAGCCCGCGGCGCGAAGCTCCGAAGCCGAAGGCGGTGCCCAAGCGACCACGGAAGGAGCTGGAAACCTTGGCGGATAAGGCCTCAGTGGCTGGGGTCCAACTAACTTATGGGGGTTTAGATGGGTTTAGATCAAGCATTTTACATATTTTATGGGATATAAATGGATATAAGAATAGGATAGCCACATATATAATATATATATGGGTACCTGAACATGTGGGGGATTTACCCTGCAATTGATGCCCTTCTTTGCGAAGAAATCATGTGCTCGCCATCAAAATTGGAAGTAGCCTTTGTTCCAAGCGACACATCCCATCCGGTACTGACCAACAAGAATAGGGATACTGAGATACTCAACAACAGAGCGGGTGATACTGACCAGCAAACATGTTAAATGTTCCCATCTTGGGGATTTTGAAAAAAAAACATCACCAACCAAGATGGTAATCGATTGGGATTCAGCAGCCACAATCAGCAGCAATGGGGATTTCACCATCAAGTCATCGTTTGATTTTGATTTTCTGCAAAAGATCAAGGGGGGAACTGATTCCCAGGTGGTACTGTACGGGGCAAAATAAGTACTTAAAGATCTTAAAGCAGTTGCGGATTACCGTAGATTGTCCGGGAATCACTTGCATTGTCGAACCAGTAGTCATCGTTCGTCATCGTTTGATTCTTCCACAGCAGGGAATGTCGACTCACATCACTGGGCAGAATCATCGGTGAGGTTATCATGGATCATGGATGATTTTTGCCAATGGTCTACACATCTATTTACTGCATCACTATTCACCACTAATCATCACTATTTATCACTACTCATCACCATTCATCACTATTTATCACTACTCATCATTATTCATTATTCATCACTATTCATCATAATTCATCACTATTCATCACTATTCATCACTACTCATCATTATTCATTATTCACCACTATTCATTAATATTCATCACTATTCATCATTATTCATCACTATTCATCAATATTCATCACTATTCATCACTACTCATCATTATTCATTATTCACCACTATTTATTAATATTCATCACTATTCATCATTATTCATCATTATTCATCACTATTCATCACTATTCATCACTATTCATCACTACTCATCATTATTCATTATTCATCACTATTCATCACTATTCATCACTATTCATCATTATTCATCACTATTCATCACTATTCATCACTATTCATCACTACTCATCATTATTCATTATTCACCACTATTCATCATTATTCATCACTATTCATCATTATTCATCACTATTCAACTTTGTCATTACTATTCATCAGTATTCATCACTACTCATCATTATTCATTATTCACCACTATTCATTAATATTCATCACTATTCATCATTATTCATCACTATGCATCACTATATATTCATCGTTATTCATCACTATTCATTAATATTCATCACTATTCATCATTATTCATCACTATTCATCACTATTCATCACTATTCATCACTATTGATCACTATTCATCACTATTCATCACTATTGATCACTATTCATCACTATTCATCGTTATTCATCACTATTGATCACTATTCATCACTATATAATCATCGTTATTCATCACTATTTATCACTATTCATCACTATTCATCATTATTCATCACTATTCATCACTTTTCATCACTATTCATCACTATTCATCATTATTCATCACTATTCATCAATATTCATCACTATTCATCACTACTCATCATTATTCATTATTCACCACTATTTATTAATATTCATCACTATTCATCATTATGCATCACTATTCATCACTATTCATCACTATTCATCGTTATTCATCACTATTCATCATTATTCATCACTACTCATCACCATTCATCACTATTTATCACTACTCATCATTATTCATTATTCATCACTATTCATCATAATTCATCACTATTCATCACTATTCAACTTTTTCATTACTATTCATCAGTATTCATCACTATTCATCACTATTCATCACTATTCATTACTATTCATCACTATTCATCATTATTCATTATTCATCACTATTCATCATTATTCATCACTATTCATCATTATTCATCACTACTCATCACCATTCATCACTATTTATCACTACTCATCATTATTCATTATTCATCACTATTCATCATAATTCATCACTATTCATCACTATTCAACTTTTTCATTACTATTCATCAGTATTCATCACTATTCATCACTATTCATCACTTATTCATTACTATTCATCACTATTCATCATTATTCTTTATTTATCACTATTCATCATTATTCATCACTATTCATCACTATTCAACACTATTCATCACTATTCATCACTATTCATCACTATTCATTACTATTCATCACTATTCATCACTATTCATCACTATTCATCACTATTCATTACTATTCATCACTATTCATCATTATTCATTATTCTTCACTATTCATCATTATTCATCACTATTCATCATTATTCATTATTCTTCACTATTCATCATTATTCATCACTATTCATCACTATTCATCACTATTCATCACTATTCATCACTATTCATCATTATTCATCATTATTCATGACTATTCATGACTATTCCTGACTATTCATGAGTATTCATGACTTTTCATCACTTATTCATCACTATTCATCACTATTCCACTTATTCATCACTATTCATCGTTATTCATCATTATTCATCATTTTTCATCATTATTCATCACTATTCATCACTATTCATCACTACTCATCATTATTCATCACTGTTCATCACTATTCATCACTATTCATCACTATTCATCGCTATTCATTACTATTCATCACTATTCATCATTATTCATTATTCATCACTATTCATCATTATTCATCACTATTCATCATTATTCATCACTATTCTTCACTATTCATCATTATTCATCACTATTCATCACTATTCATCACTATTCATCTCTATTTATCACTATTCACCATTATTCATCATTATTCATGACTATTCATGACTATTCATGACTATTCATGAGTATTCATGACTTTTCATCACTATTCATCATCATTCATCACTATTCATCACTATTTCACTTATTCATTACTATTCATCAGCATTCATCACTATTTATCACTATTCATCACTATTTATCACTATTCATCACATTCATTTTTATATTTCTCTATGATCAATATCTAGCAAATATCGCCCACTAGCTGATTTTTCCGGTCTCCAACTTGTCGATCCATTTTGGGGCTGTTCAAAAAGCACTGTTGATGCCGGCCTGGCCAGGTGAAGAAGGCCGTGGTGGAAGGCCTTGCCGGTCCTGAGGGGAAGAAGACTTCTCAGGTGGGCTGGGAAGTCGTGTGGCAGGCCTACCACTCTTTTTTGGAGACCTACAACCTCCCAAAGGTTTTTTTCCAACTGCATGAAGAAGTTGATGTAAGAAGTTGTTTTCATCTACTACCATCTACTTATGGTGTCACTCTGCTACTGGCGATCTGAATTTCTGGATTAATGATACTGTTAATGATCATGTTAATGCATTTTCCTATTCCAATTGACCAACTTTCCGGTTTCGGAGAAGCTGCAGGAAGTCCCTAGGAAAAAATACGTAAAAAAAACATGTAACAACGTTTCCTGCAGATTTTCCCAGCAAAACGAAGCCAGCAATCTGCCAGGTGCAGGACTCGATCCGGCGCGGCCGCATCAGTGCATGGCGGCATCACTGGCAAGATGATCCGTCGGAGAAAGGTGTCTGAATGACCGGTGAGTTGAGGGTCTGGATGGGTGAAACCTGGTGAAACCTCCATCATTTGAGAAATTTAAGATGAGACAGAAGACAGATGTTTTTGGACGATCTTTTTGCAGAACGCGTTTTACTTTTTACACACGTTTTTAGCAGGCTGCAAGGAAATACTTCCTAGTGACTGAAGCACGTATTTATACAGTGGGCAACCAAGGTTGTGGGATCGATGGCATGTGGTTGGGTAGGCCCTTTCTTGGAGGATCCTACGCTTCCAACTGTGATTGTGTTTTTAGGGAAACCAAAGCTTTCTGGGTCCACTGGACATATGTGCCCATATGAAACAGGTACTTCACACTTTCTGGTTTGGAAGTTTGAAAACTAATGATGTATGTAGAGCGTTTTCTGCATGCAGATGGATGATGACGGATGTAGTTTCTGGTAAACAGGCAAAGCAAAATCTGAACAATGGTTGATGCGTCCAAATGTAAGGAGTATTCCAGCCCAATTCATAGCGTGTGTATTAGTATGTATGTATATAATTCAGCTTAGATGAGACACATCTGAATGCTGCCGGAGAAGGAGAAGAAGAAGAAGAAGAAGAAAGTATATATATATATATATACAGTATTTGTAAACTATATATATATATATCGAATATAGGTATATATTTATAATTATTTATATCTAATAATATATACATACATATTCACCCCGCTTCGCGTGGGGTGGCCGCCCACACCGCAGGTTTATTTCGGTCCGTGAGAGGGGCTAAGGGTGGTTTTCCCCCGTGGGGGCTCTTCAAGCTAAGAAGTTTCAATAAGAAATCCTTCCAAAACATTGTTTTTGACAGTGTTTTTCCAATGTTTCCAGTCAAACAGACGGTAATTTACACGTTTTTTGCCATAAAGGCAGTAAATCCTTCCAAAACATTGCTTTTGACAGTGTTTTTGTAATGTTTCCAGTCAAGCATACGGTAATTTACACGTTTTTTGCTATAACGTCAGTCCAAAACACTTGTTTTTGCAGTGTTTTCAATGCTCTGGCATCCAAAAACCCTGCAAAATCTTGCTATGTACAATGTTTTTTTCATTTTTGGCCGTTTTTCCATTGCCGGAAAGCTACCAAAATGACCCAAAATTCCATTTCAATACCCTCTTGCGCTCAGACACCCAAAAATCCTCGAAAAATGTCGAAAACACCACCAGATTCTGGTCTCGGTGCGAAACCGTTTTTGGCCCCCCCCCCAGCTAAAGCTGATATAGCGACTGCTATATATTAACAAATGTCATTGAGCATTTAGTGTTGCTGTTGCCCCCCAATAAGCACGCCTTCACCGCCAAAGCGGTGTGGGCGGATTATTATGCCATGTGTATGTACACACATACATATGCACAGCATGTAGGGGGCGTCCGTTTTTTTCGAAAACCGAGATTTCGAAGCTGCCTCCCCCATGGGCTATGCCAAGATGAAGGGCTATCAACGTGTGGGCGTGCGATGGCTCTTGTCCCTGGCAAAACTGGGCTATGGCGGCTTGGCAGGGAACTCTGTG